GAAATAAGAATTCACTAAAGGGATTCCTAGGCAGGTTTGAACAGGAAGATGGAGGAATCTGCAAACTTGAAGAGAGGACAAAAGAAGTTGCCGAGGCCGAGGAACAGAAAGAAAAAAGATCGAAGAAAAGCTAACAGAGCCTAAGGGACCTGTGGGACCTCACTGAATGGACCAACATGCACACTCTAGGAGTCCCGGAAGAAGAAGAGAAAATAATTTAAACGTCTGCTACAAAGAATCAAGTAAACACAAAATAAAACAGGAATGCAGAAGGGACAAGAAAGCTATAAGGCACATAGAAAAGAAATAGAACAATAACAGAAGCAAGTCAATTCTTATGAGTAATTACTTAAATGTGAATGGACTAAACTCTCCAATGCAAAGAGATTGGCAGAATGGATAAAAACACATGATCCAACTATAGGTTGTCCATAAGAGACTTGCTTTAGATCCAAAGACACAAATAGATGGAAAGAGAAAGGATGGAAAAACATGTGCCATGTGCCATGCAAATGACCAAAAGGGAGCAGGGGTGGCTATGCTGATACCAGAAAAAAAGACTCTAAATAAAACATGAACATTATATATTAAAGATTCAACACAAAGATTTAGGGGGTGAAAGCATATGTGTTTATACATGTTATATGTAAACATTTACACACCTAATGATGGACCATCAAACTATGTGAGCCAAAAACTGAAGAATTGAAGGGAGAAACTGACAACTCTACAGTAAGTTGGAGACCTCAGTAAGGGGCAGAACAGTCAGAGAGAAGAGAAGGAAGGAAACAGAGTAGTACTCAGACGACACAACGAGCCAACCAGAAGAACAGCCGTGTGCAGAACACTCCACCCGACTGCAGCGTACACATTCTCCAGTGCATGGGGGACATTTTCTGGGATAGACAGCATGTCAGGTCATGAATTGAGTCCAAAAGATTTTAAAGGGTAGATGTTAAACAAAATATCTTCCCTGATGACAATGGGGTAGAGATAAAATCAATAACAGAAGGAAAACTATAAAATTTACAAAACTTTGGAAATTAAGCAACACACTTAAAAAAAATCAATGGATCAAAGAATAATCACAAGGGCAATTAGAAAATAATTACAGATGAATGAAAAAGAAAACACAACTTATGAAAACTAATAGACGTATTGATAGCAGTATTCAGGAGGAAGTTTACAGCTGTAAACAAGATTCAAAAATAAGAGTGATCCCAAATCAGCAATCTAACTTTACAATTTAGGGAACTAAAGAAGGAAGAACAAATCACACCCAAAGCTGGCAGAAGGAAGGGAATGATAAGGATTACAGCAGAGATAAGCTAACCAGACAACAGAAAAGCAACAGAGAAAATTAATGAAACCAAGAGTTGGTTCTTTGGAAAGATCAACACAATTGACTGACCTGTAGTTAGATGGATTAAGAAAAAATGAGAAGACTCAAATTACTAATTTGAGTAATTAGTATGAAATGAATATGGAAACATTAAAACAAATTCTACAGGTATAAATAAAATTTACAGAAAGTACTATGCACAGTTGTGTGCCAAAAAATTGGATAATTTAGATGATATGGACAGATTCTTAGAAACACAAAACCTACCATGACTAAATCATGAAGAAATAGAAAATATGAATAGACTAATAACTACTTAGTAGGCTGAATGAATAACAAAAAATATCCTGACAAAGAGAAGTCCTGGAACTGATGGTGTCACTGGTGAATTCTACCAAGCATTTAAAGAACTAGTACCAATCATTCTCAAATTTTTCAAAAAACTGAAAAGGAGAGAATACTTCCTAACGGACTTTATGAGGCCAGCATTACCCTAAACCAAAGCCAGACAAAGACACTACAAGAAAAGAAAACTAAGAAACCTTAGGATGACAAGGATGACAAGAACATTCAATGAGGAAAGGACAATTTTTTCAACAAATGGTGCTGGGAAAATTGGATGTCTACATGGAAAAGAATAAAGTTGTACACTTACCTACACCATCTGCAAAAATTAACCAAAAATGGATCAAAGAATCTAAATGTAAGACCTGAAACTATAAAACTCTTAGAAGAAAACACATGATGAAAGCTTCACCACACTGGACTTGGCGGGGTTTTCCTGGGAAGGGCACTGATACACAGGCAACAAGAGATAAAATAGGCAAATTGAACTTCATGAAAATTGTTAAATGTCAGCATGAAAATGCACTATCCACAGAGCAAAAAGGCAGCCCTCAGAATGAGAGAAAATATTTGCGAATCATACATCTGATGAGGGACTAATATGTAGAATATACAGAGAACTCCTAAAACTCAAGAACAAAAACAACCAAATTAAAAAATGGGCAGAACTCTTGAATAGACATTCCTCCAAAGAAAACACACGACTGGCCATGAAAAGATGTTCAACTCACCCTCAGGATAATGCAGATCAAAACCCCACCCAGACCCCACCAAACCCCCAGGAGGATGCTCCACAGTGTGGGCAAGGGTGCAGAGAAGCTGGGACTCCGCATGGCCAGTGGAAACATAAAATGGTGCAGCCATATGGACAGTGTGGAGGTTCCTCAGAAAACTAAACAATTGCCACTTGATCCAGCAACCCCACATCTGGGTACAAACCCCAGGGAGCTGAGAGCAGGGCCAGGAAGTGTTGTCTGAACCTGCGCCCACGGCAGCACTATTCCTGACAGCAGAGACGTGGGAGCAGCCGGTGTCCACAGCGGGATGGGTGGCTGAGCACAAGGCCGTCCACCCAGGCAGGGGATGTTCCTTGGCCCTGACGGGGAGGCAGTTGTGGCCCGTGTCCCACACGGTGAACCTGAGGACGTGGTGCGACGGGGTAAGAGGCTGGGGGAGGCGGGGAGTGAGTGTTTAGTGGGGACAGGGTTTCAGTTTGGGAGGATGGAAAGTTCTGGGAAGGGGTGGTGGGGACAGCTGCACATTGTGAATGTGTTTAATATCATTTGAAAATGGTTACTATGGTACATTTTATGTTACCTGTGATTTACCACAATAAAAACCTACATTTTTAGCAACTTCATTTTAAGGTGAATAAAGACACATTTAAACAATGTGTCCAAAAACAATCCAAACAGCACCCCACAGGCGTGAGAAGGGCTGTGTACCTTTGGAGAACGCTCAGTGGCGTTGTGCAGCAGGAATGTCAGCTGCGCCTGGGATGCAGACGATGCCTTCATTAGACGGCGTTTCTGTTTATCAAAGCTGCTGGGGCCCTTTCAGGGGCTTGGAGGTTGTATCTTACGGTAAAGTGCACAAATCCGTGTGTGTGGTTTGTGTCTTGAGCTCTAGGATGCTGCCTGGGCCTGATGGCTCCCCTGGGCTTCCAGTCTAAGCCCCTAAGGGTCGCCCTCCTTCTGACCTTCTGCCTCCTAAGTCAGGTCCTCACAGTCCCTGTGATGAGGCAGGTGAGCGGGGCTTTGTGGTCCGGGCACCTGGCCCACCTTCGCCACTGTGTGTTGGGGCCTTGCTCACTGTCCCAGAGACGCACAGTGATTCTACAGACTGACGCATGAGCCCTCTCCTGCTCCTTATGAGGGCGCTGTTCCTGTCATGGGGCCCCGCCTCTAAGCACATCCAAATACAGGAGTCGGGGTTCAAGGGGACACTGCACACTGTGTGGGGGATTGTGCGTCATAGGAGTTAAGCGTCTCCATGTTCTGTGTGATTATCCATTCCAAGCATCTTGTGTTTGGAGATGAAGTTGTGTTTGAATTACTTGGTCCTTTCTGAATAATCCTTATTTGTCTCCAACAGTAACTTGTGTCCCTAACTCCAAAGATGAGTCGTGCCCACCCAGCTTCCAGAGCGCACACTGGGCACTGCAGGGATGGGGATGGTGGCCTGGGCTTTGGGACTTTGAACCCGGTGCAGGGATGGTCACCCCTCCAACTCCAGGGGCTCCGTGGCTACATGCCTCTGAGGGAGCTGGGTGGGAACCTCTCCCAGATGCTGTTTGGTTACTGCCTGCTCTGGGAGCCCCAGATGGGAACAGAGTCCCTCCCCTCACCCAGCAGATGCCCATGTGCCCTGGGAGGGGATGGGGGGATGCCGAGGGGAGTGTAAGGCTTCCAACCTCAGACCCAGGGCACCCCTGGCTCTCCCCCTGTAAGCAGGCTTTGGGGTGCTGTTCTTGGACACAGCTTCTCCTGGAAGCCACTTCCCTCTGGGACACTGGCCACCCACAGGGGGCCTGGCACCCGCAACCCAGCTCCCTGGCAGAAGAGGTGGCACCATAGCCTTCTGCCCAAGATGTTTGGGAAGTCAGTTCTGGAATGTTTAGCTTCAAAAAAAATATTGGCAAGCATGAGAGGATCATGTGCTAGGAAGGTGGGCGTGAGTGATGACTGGGCGGCCCTCAAGCTGTGAAGGAAGCTCGTTTGGCTGTAGATGGCCCTCTGTGAGCACCCGGCCTGCCCTGCATTGTCTCATCTGGGGTCTGAGTGGGGAGTCAAGTTGTAAGGTATGAGAACCAGGAGGAACGCCAGCCCAAACACCCTGACAGAGAACGAGAGCTGCCACACACAGGCTCGGTGCCCCGGCGACAGCTGAGAGACAGACGGTCACTTCCTGCAGCACTTTACATGTACACCGATGGGCCCGTGTGCCCCTCCACCTCCCGCCAGACCTCACGTGGGCCTGGGGCTGCCTGCAGGGTCGAGGAGGGTGGTCCAGGGCCGTGACATCCATCTTGTCTTCTGTAATTGAGGTGGGAGAGCTATCCCCAGGTGGGGGTCTCAGAAAGGCCTTGTTTGTATGTGAGACGCTCTCAGCATTAGTGAGTGTTGGAACAGAGGCCATTAGGAGCCCAGGAGCTCAGGTTGTTGAGAAGTTTCTCAGTAAGATTCAAGTCATTTCACACACATCTTTTATACTGTATATATTTTAATCACTAAAATTTATTATGTTTCATTATTAAAATTTATTCTAAAATATATGTAATAATGTTTTATTTTTCAACATCAGAAGAGTGTAAGCATGTTCAGCAACTCCCAATGGCTTTCTCCGGGGCTACCCAGCTAACTCAGTGTGTCACTGTCTCTGGAAGCCTGGAGGGACATTTCCCAGGAGGTGTGTCAGCAGAGGCCAGTTGGTTGGACACATCTCTGCATCCTGGATATTCCTTGGGGCCACACCAGGTCCCCACGCCTGTGGGGACTGAGCCTTTCTACCCAACTCTCTGTAGCGACCTGCCCAGGACAGGACACAGGGCGGGAGCTCCAGAGGGCAGCTGGCAGGATGTCCCCCAGTCCAGACACACTCAGAGCTCCCAGTGGACAAGGTGAAGTTTCCCTGGATGTGAGGAATGGGGACTAATTCAAGTCACTGGGAAAGTGCCAGAGTAACAGGGAGAGACAGAGAGAGACATGGGGGAGAGACGGGGAGAGACGGCAGACAGCCAGAGAGACAGGGTTAGCCAGAAAGACAGAGGTATGGGGATGGGGGGACATCACTTGGCAGAGACTGGGTACTTGTGGAACCCCAGGACCCTGGAGGCAAGGGTCGAGGCCCTCCATTGAGGACCCCACAGTTAAGATGCTCTGAACGATTGTCCGACACTAGCGGTGTCCTACAATTCATCTCTGACCCACAGGTTCAGGGCTCAGCCCCACAGGGCTGCCCTACTTTATTCCCCAGCTGCGCGTGGGATCTCCAGGCCACCCATGCATCCTCTGGCCAACTACAAATTCAGGGTTACTCAGGAGTTTTTGCAGCACAGCTCCAGCCTCTGCCTGTCCTCAGAGGTCCGGGATGGGGGGCTGAGTGTCTCCCCTGTGGCCACCTGGTCTGTGTGTTGAAACTGTCCAGGGCCCCAGTTGAGTCATCTCATTGTTATAAACTCAGGACTCCTGTGAACAACAGAAGATGCTCCTGACACTCAAGAAAGCCCGGGGCTTGCAGGAGCTCTGTGCTGGGAACTAGGAGCAAAGGCCACTGTGATGTGTCACACCCACATCATGAGACCTTCATGAGACATTCAGACTTACAGGCTCCTAGGATCCAGCGTCCGGTTGGCCAGCCCCGGTCAGCTGTCTGTCTGTACCAGTGGGCTGGGCCAGGGCACTGGTTGTGGGGCCCACATAGTTTCCAGAATCCCCATCTGCAGCTGGCAAGAGGGTCCAGAGGAGGTGGCCCACGTCCCCTAGGCAGTCACTGGGGGCTCTGACCTGGCTGGAATCTGAGGGCGAGGGTGGGGCAGCCACAGGGCACAGGCACCTGCCAGAGGGACCCATCTGGACCCTGAGGGCCCCCTCCTCTATCTCAACTGCCCAAGGAACAATGGGTGCTTAAAATAACTCACTGGACTCAGGCATGCCTGCCCAGAGGGGCTGAGCGGACCACCCCACTTCCCTGCCCACATCGGTGCTCCCAGCTGGAGCCGTCCTGCGGCCTTCAGATCCACACACCTCAAGGGGCCAGGTGCAGGGTGCTGACACCTGCCAGCTCTGTGTTAAAAAATTGATTGTTGAATAAAACATACCCCATACTGGTTAATAAGACTTTAAACATAGTTGACTGGCTTATTGGTAAGAAAATAACATTGTTTGATTTTCCCCTGAAATTACTCAGCAATACAACCTATAATTAGTTTCTATGATTAGCTGTAGAGATGGAATCCACCCAAACCACATAATTGTTATTTTCACAACATCTGCCTATAAACTCTCCAAGGAAACAGGTCCCTGCTGCTGGGGGGCTGGGGGCAGAGAGCACTGCTGGGGCCAGTGGCGTCGGGGCCTTGCTGCCCGCCTTGGGGCCCAGACCCGGCCTGGGTGTTGGAGAGTGCTCCGTCAGAGCCCGAGGTCGCGGAGCTCCCTCTGGAACATGCTACGAGACCCAAGGGGGCTGTGGCCGGGACAAGGTGAAGACAGAACTCCCAGTGTGGCCAGGTGGCTGGCAGAGGCGCAGCTGCAGGGACTCAGGAGCCAGGGACAGCCGAGGAGATGTGCCAGCCCCGTCCTGGCCCAGTGTTCCTGTAACCCTGGTGAGACAAGCCAGGTCCTCGAGTGCACGTGTGCATGTGTGTAAGGGTGCCTTTTCCCTCATTTGAAGCCTAACAGAAAGGATGTGATTGGTGTCATAGATGAGATCTGTGTGGAGGGAGCCCACCCAGTGGGACTTAATTTTGGTAATGGGTGTCGGGAAGGAGCAAAGTGACCAGCGGAGGATGAATTGTCCGGCCGTGAGGCGCTGAACCCTCAGGAGAAGGTTTCTTTGCGTCTGGGGTCACTCTGGAGGAACCCATCTGCTCTTTCCCTAACTCTCAACTAAGCCCAGCACATAATTAGAGGGTGCTTGCAGGAGAGTCACTCAGTCCACGCACGCATCAGGTCACAACAGAGATGTCAGCATATTGCAAAGAGCAAACACAGCACCGATGACATTCCCGGTTACCCCGCACCCAGACCAGAGAAAGCGAGGGGCCTCCACCCAGAAATGGAAAAGCCTACCTCGAGAGCCGAGGAGGGGCAGCCATGGAGATCGTAGAATCTCTGGAAAACAGTGATAACAAAACAATATGCATAAAAGAACTAACGTGGTACCACCTACAGCCGTGCTCACAGGAAAATTCATAGCTTTAAAGAGCTGCATTATTACAAAAGCAAGAAAGAAGTGACAATTTATGTGTCCTATTTTGAAAAGTACAGAGAGTAAAAAACAATAAAAGGAAGCTAAAATAAGAGATAATAGAGATAAAATCAGAGATGAAAAGGTCAGAAAATTTTACAGTGGTAGAAACATTATATAGCAGAATATGGTTGTTCAAAACTTAGATAATCCCACTAGCTGATGTAATTTTTGTAAAAAGCAGGATGTCATAAATACAGGAAATAAGAAATAACGAAGGGAAACCGCCAAGAAATAAGAAGAATTACAGGAATCACAAGAAATCAGAAGCTTCTAGAAACAAGCAAAGCCCTGTCTTGGCCCGCCCCTGCCCCTCAAGGCTGTTTGTGGCTCTGCCAGGTTTCTGAACGGTTGACTGAATAGTGAGGCCACTTCCCGCAATCTGTAGCTGACCAGAGGGAATGCAGCAATCTAACCTATTTATTCAAGGTCATTGCTCATAACACTTTAAATTAAGTGTTTTATTTTTAAATGGGAATATTATTTACATGTAGCAAGATCCTCTGAGCTTACATGTGCTGAGTGGTGAGTTGTGACACACACACACCACGTATCAACATCACCACGGACGACAGGCTGAACCCTCTCCTTCCAGCCTTGTACCTTTGCGGTCAGGCACCGGCACCCGAGACAGCGCTGCTCCGCTTCATCTCTGCAGGTCAGTTCTGTGGTCCTGCAGCGTCCTGAACGGAGTCACTGAAGTGCAGATGTCCCCGTGGTGCCCCAGACCCTCGTTTGTTTTCCCATCCACTCCTGTGCTTCTGGCATCTGGGCTGCTACGAGCAGGGCAGCTGGCACACTGTGCCCCGGGAACACACGTGGCGTGCTCCGCCTTCCGGAGATCCCGGGCTGTTTCCCACGGTGCCCGCCAGCCGCTCCACATCTGTCTTTTCCCTTGGAGTCTGCGGTGTGTGTGGTCTCACTCTACAGCTGTTCACAGCCGATTGGTGGTACCTCTGTGGGTTGCCTGTCCAGTGATTTGCTTATGTTCAAACAGCATTGTCTTTTTATTATTGAATTGTAAAAAGGGTTCTTTTTATTACTTTATATATTCTAGATAGAAGTCGTTGTTTTGTGATATTTTCCTCCCAGTCTGTGGCTTGCCTTTGTATTTACTAAATTTGCCTTTTGATGAGCATATGTTGATTTTAATGAAGTCTAAACTATTATATTTTTTTCTTTTATGGCTCAAGCTTTTTGTTTCTCCTCTAGGAAATCTTTGACACACCCATTATGACAGAAAGCTCTCCCTCTGGAAGTAACTTCAGCTTTTACTTTGAAGTTTGTCATCCACCTTGAATTAATTTTGCAAATTGTCTAACATAGCTGTCAAGAGGGCTCGTTTTCCTATACAGATATCCTGTCACCCCAGCACAGCGTTTGAAACGTTTTCCCCCCCTTGCACTGCATGGCAGCCTCACTGAGAGCTGGCTGACTTGCGCTGTCCCTGGTGGGCTCCTGTGCTGTTCCTCTTCGACCTGCACCAAAGCACACGGCTCTGACCGCGCAGCTCATGATAAATAAGCCCTGAGATCATGGTGCAAAAGACCCGACTTTCTCTTTATTTATTTATTTTTTAATTTTCATTTATTTATTTATTTTTGGTATCATTAATCTACAATTACATGAAGAACATTATGTTTACTAGGCTCCCCCCTTCACCAAGTCCCCCCCCACATACCCCTTCACAGTCACTGTCCATCAGCATAGTAAGATACTGTAAAATCACTACTTGTCTTCTCTGTGTTGTAGAGCCCGCCCTGTAGCCGACTTTCTCTTTTTTAAAGACTGTCTTGACTATTCTAAATCCTCTTCATTTCCATCTAGATTTTAGGATCATTTTTTCAATTCAAAGAATGTAGTCCCCTTGGGATTTTGATCCAGGTTGCACTGAATTTATAGATCTGTCTGGGGGAGAATCTTCTAAGCCACAAGCATGGGATAGTTTTCCTAGTGTTTAGCATTCTTCAACATCTGCCAGTTTGATGGATGGTATCGACTGCATGTGTGCCCCCCAAATTCACATGTTGACCCCCCCAGTGTGGTGGTGTTTGGAAGCAATGAGGTCACGAGGCTAAGGCCCTCGTGATGGGACTAGTGTCTTATAAAAGGCCCCAGAGGGCTGCCTAGCCCCTTCCACCGTGTGAGGACATAGGGAGAAGATGCCGCCTGTGAGCCAGGAGGGAGCCCTCACCAGAAACCAGATCTGCCCATCCTTCTCTCCTGGACCGCCAGCCCGCAGAGCTGGGGAGTACAGGCCTGTGGTGTGTGGGCTCCCCTGGCCAATGGGGTTCTGTTACCGTAGCCTGAGCAGATTAAGACAGTGGGTTTGGTATAGAGGTTTTGTACATCCTTTAAAAAAAAGTATTGCTAGTTTTTCTGGATTTTATCAACTGGTATTCCCATCATTGACCATGGTTTTCTCTGATATAAATGTAATGAGGTATTTTCCACAGACAGTGGGAAAGGGCGAGCCTGCTGGCTTCCTTTTTCCCTGTTTAGCGCCTCAGTGTTGTTAAGCAAAGTGTCTTGAACTGCGTGTATTAGTTATCTCTTGCTGTGTAGCAAATTGCCCCAAAACGCGGTGGCTTTAAACAATAAACATTCCTTATCTCATAGTTTCTGTGAGTCGTGAATTGGGGAGTGGCTCAGGAGGGCGGTTCTGGCTCAGGTTCCCGCGAGAGGCTGCAGCTGACAGTGGCAGGGCCGCCTCGCTGGCAGGTGGCCCGGGGAGGGAGATGGGGGAAGGGGCAGCCCAGCCCCCAGCTGACATTTGGCATTGGTGTCTGGAAAGCTGTGCAGGGCCCTGGACCCAATTCTCAGATTCCCGGCAGCAGACGGCCCCTGGGGGTGGGCAGTAGCCCGGGGGAGATCCAATTGGTGAGGCTGCCCTAAGCTCTCTGGAAGGTGGGGAGGCCGCAGCAGGAGGTGGGGACAGTGTCCAGGAAGAGGGCCGCTGTGGCCTGGGGCCAGACGGGCTTGCCTCGACTGTGGCAGCAGCTGCTTCCAGGTGGCTGCCCGGGGCTGGGGCTGGAGGGGTGTGGGGGCAGCTACGGAAAGTGTTCTCTCCCTGGCTGTGACCTCCCAGCATCCGATTTGTCCAACGACTCAGCTGTAGGATACATCAAATATTACAGAGTTGAGTTTCTGAAGATATGTTTTCTCCAGGAAAAATCCTTTTTAAAATGGTGGGAGAATAAAAGGGTAAACTTGCCCTTCCAGTGGGAATAGGTAACAAGGCTGCTTCACCTCACAGATTGAACAGCGAGGGAACTGCCCTTAGAGTCCGAGACACATGTGCCCTGGACATGCCCTTCAGTGTGCTGCCCGGCTGGCCACCAGGTCAGGGCGGGCACCACTCGCTGTCCTGCCGTCTGCCAGGGCCTGGCCTGCCCAGTGCCATCATTTGAGCAGCATTGGCCTCTGCTGCAGATGGCGCAGCTTTGCTCCTGAGCTGTGGAACGTCCTGATTTTCCGTGGGGCTGGCACACATTTGGTGCGGGGTCATTTTTCTGCCCTCAGGCTCTCTGGCGGGCACCCTAGCATGATGGGTAGGCAGGGCCTAGCCTAATTGCACGCCCCCTCCCACACACTGGTGGCTCAGGGGTCCGTGGGGGGACAGGATGGAAGGGCATCTGTGGCCAGGGATGGTATCGAGGGCACCAGGCGTTGTGCCTCCTTGCATGGGAGCCACCCGTACAGCCCTGTCCTCAGCTCTGATGGGGCTGCACTGCCTTCTTGGCCTGTCTTGTGCGGTGAGTGGTCATGTCCTCCCCAAACTCGTACGTTGGGCTCCTTACACCAAGCACCTCAGAATGTGGACTTACTTGGTCATAGGGTCTTTGCACATGGTCTGGTCAGTAAGTCACTAGGGTGGACCCTGATCCAACCCAGCTGTGGCCTTATGAGAAGAGGACCTTTGGGCTCATGCACACACACAGGGTGGGCACCTGGTGGTGGCAGGGGCAGAGATGGCTCCTGTGGTGACAAGCCCAGGAGCCTAAAGATGCCGGCAATGCCCTGGAGCTGGGCGAGAGGTTGGAGAGGCTCTTGCAGAGTTGACTCTGGGCTTCTGGCCAGGCAGTTGTTCGAGCTGCCAGCCTGTGTGCTTTTTTATGGTGGCCCATTGTCCATGGCAGGCCATTCTAATATCCTGATGTCTTAACAGAGAGGACACGTCCCAGGACCCTGGCTGCATGCCAGTGGTGTCAGATGACCACGCCTGTCCAATCTGCTGCCGCTCCGGGGGCCTGTGGGACATTTATGACCATCCACAGGCCCCAGCGGCGCTGTCGGTGGGACCAGGAGCTCTAGGCGGTAGAAGGCGGCCTTGCCCAGCGGTGGCCCAGGCTTCTGCCCCCTGGCCTGGGAGTGCCACGTCGTGTCTTAATGTGCCATCTTGCCAGAGGCATGAGTTTCTGTGTGTTCCACTTAGCCTCTTGCCCCAGAGGCCATGGAGCCCAGGTGGGGGCTTCCCACCGCCACTCAGTGGGTCCCCTGTGAGTTACACTGGACCAGGCCCCCCTTGTCACCTCGCTTCAGAGGCCCTCAGTCCCACGGCACCCGGGAGCCCATGCAGACACTGGGGGCTCCCGACACTGTGTCCCCCATCCCCAGTCGATGCTGGAAGCCCCTTTGGGCATGCTCAGGAAGCCATCGCCCCATGCCCTGATGCCCTGCTATGACCCCCCAGGGCCCTTCCTCGTGGGCCCCTGGTCTGACCAGGCTCCATCCCAGGTGCTGCCCTGGCCCCTGATGGCCCCCTGTGGTGTCCGTCAGGCGTCCCTTTGTCTGTGGCCCACACCTCTGCGCAGATGGAGCTCATTCATCCCTCACTAGGCACGAGCTCACACACCTGGGCATGACCTCAGAGGCAGGGGTAAGGGGTCAAGGCCACTTCTCAGAGGGAAGGCTGGTTCTCAGACTGGGGAGGGGGCTGCTTCCACAGCAAGGGGGCCCCAGGGGCTTGGGGGCGTGTTGTCAGCTTTCCCTGTCTGCCCAGATGTTCCCCAGCCTCAGGCTCCCTCCTCCCTCCCCAGTGTCCCACCCCAACCCTGGGACCCTGCAGCCCCCATCCCCAGCTGGCACTGACTCTGAGGGACCCTTAAAGGCTGAGCTGGGCGCTGGGGCCTCTGGTCATGAAGCAGCTCATCTCTCCAGGGCAGCCCCCAGGGTGGTTGGAAGCACCAGCCCACCCAGATGCCTTACTCACTGGGGTGGCAGGTGATCAGCCTCCAGAGGACTCCAGCTGGGCCTCTGTGGGGTGCTTCGGGTTAGTGTGACACCAGGGCATGTCACAGAGGCCAGGGCAGATGGTGGCTGCGCACAGTCCTGTTCCCATGTCAGGTTTGGCCCCATCCCTGGAGGATGAGTCCCCAGCAGGCCAGCCTGATGAAGAGGCTGTTACGCAGGCGTGGACCCATGAGGAGAGCCCAAGTCCCCGCCCAGGCGGGTAGGGGCTGTGCTGCCAGCCCACTGCCCCCGCCCTGCCATCTGCTCATGACTCCGGGCGTGCAGGCAGGACTCGTTTCTCTCAGAATGCCTGGAGGTACAGTGCCTTTTGATACAACAGTGGCTAGGAAATTAGTAAATGTGGTGTGTTTGGTGCTCAAATATCTATATTCTACACCTACAATATCTCCAGTCCTATAGATACTACAGGTAATGGCAGACCCACAATAATGTATCTTCAGGAAGTCCAAATGAAGATTTACCTTGCTGTAATGATTCCCCACGGTAGGAATAATAACAAACCCAATGAGGCTTCAGTGTGAGCAGCAGAGATGGCACCGAGTGTTTCCTGCACACTGGGATGCCCTGTAGAGGGCGTGAGCATGGGGGGCGGGGCGGCCGCATCCTGTCTGCACGGCCTCTTTGCTGGCTTGGCTGCTGCTTCCTAAAGGCTGCGGACGCACAGTCAGCACTGTCCTTCCCAATTGCCATAGAAAGCCTGATTTTGCAGTTTACCACAAAAAGCCAGATTTGCTCAGCATGTAATTTAATCTTATGCTTGGAGACATCCTATCACTTGGTTATCACAAAATGATTCTTTAGTAAAAATGTATGCTGCGTGGTCTCTGTTTTATTTACCTGGTGCATCATGTCCCCTGCTGCCGCAGATGCCAGGAACGCCATCAGGCTCACTTACCAGGCAAATGTGGGCACCTGCTCACCCTGTGGCAGGGTTCTCAGCTCGTGGGGGTCGTAGAAGTGTTTGCCTTGGTCTGCAGAGGAAACTATCTGGAGTGCCAGTCGTTAACTACAGGGTAATCGCTGTTCTTTCAGCATATAAATAACAGTAAGGAAGTATCTTTGCGAAAGGGTGCCCTCCAGCAGGGGCTGAGCAGGAGCCCCTTTGCAATGGCAAGTTCCCAGGGGGTTGCCTGACTCCCGGCAGAGTTGGCAGGGGCTCCTACAGCAGGGAGCCCCATGGGAGAGCAAGTGCCCCACCAGGAGGATGCAGCGCAGGCGTGCCCAGGTCTGTCCGAGTGGGCTTGGTTTCCGCAGTTAGGCCACTGGGGCCTGAGCGCATCATTTCCAGGGCAGATTGGACTCAGGAGCAGCCCAGCTGTATGGCTCTGCAAGCGA